TAATGTTTACCAAGCTCCAAACACAAAAAAAAAAATAGTTGTACACGAAGAGAGGACCGTTTGTGCAATTGTTCAAGGAACCAAATTAATTTCTGTAATCTCCGTAAAAAAAACTTTCTATAATCTATCCTACAAAAAAAGTAAAATTAAACTTGAATATTCGGATCTTCGGTACATAAATAATTGTGCCGCATAAGGAACACCTCACAACGTGGCAAACGCTTTTCATCAAACGATGTAACAAGCCACTTTCTTTTCCTGCAAAATGCTAAATGTAATCATAACTAACAGATTTATTGAATCTTCATTTAATTTTCATAATGAAAAAGTCTCTAAGTTTAAATTTCATCTATTTATAGTTTTATATTATGAGATATGGACATATACCTATTTATATGTAGGCTACGTTTTTCCGACTTAGGTTACATCATCCATGTATATCCTTATTTTCTAAAACAAATCCAAGATGTAAATCGTTCCACCGTGGTATGTAATCTAATCCCCTGTCTGAAACATTAATCATTTTTGTAAAATTTACTTGCTATTGAAGGACAATCGATCTTGAGTAGGAATATCCATCCGATTGCATATGGCAGCAATTAGTTTCAGTATTTTGTCATCAAATGATTTGCATCCGACGTTTTCGATTACGTCAACGCGTGGATGTCCAAGCCAAGCCTATATAAAAACGATCACTGAGACGAGTTTAGTGGACAACTTCAGTTATAATAAAAATTTCGATGATTGTCGACTTAATTAACTTACAATATAAAAGCGCTGCAGGAATTCTATCCTTTTCTAAAATATTTACATTTCGCACGTTAAGTTTACAACAGCAAGTATTATTACATGCATTGCCTTATCGTCTTACAGTTGAAAACAAAATTAAAATCAGGAAAAGAAAATCGAGACACTAAAACTTGCAAAAAAATATATCTTTGAAGATAGAAAAATGTAACCCGAATTAAGTAACGGTTCAAATGAATAAAAGGAATCTGTTAAAAGTTCCAGTAACAATTTTAGAGTCATGGAGATTTTCGAAAAGCAAAAAGTGCTAAAAATAACAAATATGTAGATATCGAATAAAAAAAGGTTGGTTACATCTCGGGTAAGTCGATCTTGCTCTATAGCTTGCTCAAGCGTTTCCATTCTTACATTACTATTTGCCAAAGTATAATATTCCTCAGCACCATCTGCTGCTGTCGTCATATGCAAAACCTGCAAAAAAACATCTTCAGTAGTTAAATTAAAAAAGTATTTAAAATATTGTAATAGTGAGCTATTGGCACTTAAATCAATAGATAGATTATCGAAATGAAAGGCCTAAGCAGCAATGTCTATTGGTATTAAAAAAATTCAGTTTCAGAACCGATCTCAAAATACTATTCCAAATAATGCTATTTGCTAAGCATTAACAAGCGAGATCCATAAATATCAAATTTTTTAAATAAAATTTTCATGAAGAAATTAGATTTTAAAAATTACAGCATCGAATTTTATGGGAAAAAGCAATGATGAGTGATAACATGATATATTATAAGAGTTATTAGGTTACTGTTTAAATGTTCCGAAATGTATTTTGTAACCATATTTTTGTTTTGCTATGTAGGAAAAAAATCACATTTTTTTCCAGAAACATTCTATTGATAGCAACTGAAACATTCAAAATAAAATTTCAAAAACTAACTTGATCGTATCTGTTTTCCCGTAGACTGAACTGATCCAAATTAACTTCCTTTAACATTTGATTCCAAGAATCCTTGTCGATGTATGCTGCCGGATCCATGGCTCCACGATCACATATGATTAAGATGCGTTCATGAGTTGATGCATTGGCTTGATTAAAGAAAACCTGCCAATTTTTTCAACCACCACTACAGAAATCATTTAGAAAAAATATTTCAAGGACACAACAACTATCATTTCTTATAGTTTAAAAGATGAAAATTTTGAAATGCAAAAGCAAAATATAGCATTGTAATCCTGTTGTTAACAAAGATTAATTATGCATAATCATATCAATCAATGGTATTCTGATTGTGTTTAATAAAGAATAGTATTATCTACAATATGAAATGTGCAATTTTATGATTTTAAGAGTGCATTTAGGTGTTCCAGTGCATCGTAAAACTTTTTTTGTACTCATAATAATATAGTGCGTTCTTCTTTTTTTTTTTTTTTTAAATCAAGGTAACTGGAAGAGCACCTAGCAAACAGTAATAACTTGCTAATATACGATAAACCAACAACGAAGACTAAATTCTTACCATTTCAATTCTCAGCAAAGTTAATAACAGATCCTTCTGAAATTTGTAGAGTTGTTCCGTTGATAATTCGCTAAATTTCACACCACCACCAAGTAATATATTAGCTGTTTCCGGCACAGTATATACTTTCCAACCAATTTCTTCAAAAAATGTCCGAAGACGCTCCTAAAAGCCAAAGCATAAAAGAATTACAAATCATTTGATAGATAATGATTGAGAAACAAATTACTAATAGAAAACATACAATGAGCTAATCCTATTAAAAAAGCATCTTTCTTCACAAGAATGAAAAAGCAGAACTTAAAAGCAACAAAACAGTTACATCTTCTTTTCTGGTTTCAAATAATTGAACACATATATTAAATTAAATTAAACTGTTTACTTTTACTTTTGAAGTATCAAATTGAATTAAATTTTTTTTCTGCTTTACAGAAATAGAAATTTAAATCAAACTAAATAAAACTAATTTTTTTTTCTACTTTTCAAGCCATAACAATAGCTACAAAGGAAAAGAAATCAAATTTCTCACTTGTCCGGTGGTTTTCCCGCCGCATGGACCACCAGTAAGAACAATTTTATAAATACGACGTTTGTCAGCAACTGAATCCGGTTCAACCATTCGGAATTTTCCGTTTTGGATGCAAACTGCTAGTAATTTTCGAGTTATTACGGCACTGCACGAGAATGACCCGCAACAAACATCACAAATCACAAATTAAAAAATACACCTTCGCCTCACCTCCACTTCCGCATGCACGAATTTTACATTCCATTAGTTCACCGGGAAATAATAGTTGAAGAGCGGCGCGATTTACAGTGAGGTCAAAGATTATGGGATATCTATCAAATCATTCTGCATTCCTTCGACAGTCAAACTTTCATTGAATTATTATCAAAAGCAGATTTTTTGCGATAAATTATATTTGGAAAAAAGAGAAACACAAAAAAAAAACTCAGTTTCAGTTCGTTTTTTTTTTGGGGGGGAGGGAAGGGAGACTAATTAAAAATTAATTTGACTTTGATAATTTTAAAAATTAAATGAAATTTTTTTTTCCACAAAATTTCGAGAAAACATTTTGTAAATTTTTTGCTGCATTAATACTGATTTTCTCTCGGTGCATGCAACAATTTGATTGATCATTGTGTAATAATGTAAGCAAAGATTTTTTCCCCTTTTTTTTCCGAAAATAAATTTCCGGTGGCATATTGAATTTTTTCGGTCGTATTTCGGATGTCAATTGCTAGACTGAATTATTCCGTTAAGATTTCCAATGATATCTATCAAACTACTCTGTCTGAATTATTCCGTCGACGGTCAAACTTTTCATTGAATTTATATTTCTCAGAAAATTCATTGGATAAATTCTCGAACATCCATGCAGTTAGGGGCGTAAAACTTTAGGCGCACGGATTAGATAGTATAAGTAGTTCGAAATTAAAAAATTAATCGAAAGTCAAAAAAAAATTTGATGAGAAATTCGAAGATATTTAGCCGATATAATTGATGAAATATGGAAAATTCATTAGGAAAATTATTTTAAAAGCATTTTGCCTGCTACGGTAACTTTTTTCTCTCTCATCTAATCTCTCTTTAACTCTAAGAATAAACTTATTATGAAAAAAAAGGGAGGAATTTATATTTAATGAGTTAGTTTTTTTAGTTGAAAGAATTTCTTAGGATAATTGAAATATAAAATATTATCAATTATTTAAATAACTCTAAGTTCCTATATTTTTAATTTTTAGATCTAATTTTTTGATTGAAAAATTTTTTAGATTTATTGATATAATTTTTGTTAGCAAAAAAAGAGAAAGAATGCTATTGGAAATGAACAAATAGCGGAACTGTATGAGATGATAATTGTGGAAGAAAAGAAGAAATATGTTTGTGTGTGATCAATTTATATTGCTATTTCTGCAAAATTTGTCATAAAAAATATTGGATGTAATGTTATTGAAAGTACAAATTTTTGCATTCATGACTGTTTACACTTAATTTTTGCTCCGCAAAACTATTTCAGTGTGATTTTTGCTCCGCAAAACTATTTTCATCGATATTTGATGAATTTGCAATATTGCAAATTCATCAAATGGCGGTGCAAACAGTTTATTTCGAGCTGTAAGATTTGATGGTTTTTTTTTTTCTGTTTGCTAAAATTTCACAGTCAGAGATTAATGTTTTTAATTTTATGATACTTTATAATTCGAATAGTTGCAAATATTTTACAGCAAAGTTATTGCAAACTAATGAATACGCAAAAAAAAAATGTAAAATAAAGGTGTTTATTTTTTTTAACACTTGTAGTTATCGTTATAGTTGTTACATGACTGTTATAATCGTAGTTACTATAGTTACTTTGTTATTATAGTTGTAATGACTACAGTTATATAGTTAACCGATATGCTAAATATAGTGAACAAAAAAAAAAACGATGATTTTTATTACTAATAGAGCAATTAAATAATTTTTATCACTGAGATGAAATTTTATGAATTTAATCAAAGTTTAAAATGAAGTTATTGTGAAATGAAAAATTCAAGCAGCCAATTATATGATAAGCTAATGAATAGCTGATAAATAAATTTTAGAAAACATATGAAACATATGAATTGTACAATTCAAAAAGTGTGAAATTCTTGGCCAAGAATGAAAAAATTAAAGATGTTAGAGCACTGCGAGATGTTTCGGCAAAATATTTTTCAATATACAATTAATTATGGAAAACAGGTTTCCATGGTAATTTATTCAACTTCAAGAATTTATTTCGATAACAATACTATTAATAAATGTCAATCTCATATTTTTCAAGACAGGAAAAATTCGCAAAATGTCACTATATTTTTATGTCAAAATTTACAAAGTATCTCTGAAAACTAAGTGTTTTGTTAACGCTTTTTCAAACGTAGAAATTTTCAAATTATAAATTATCATAGAAAGATAAAATTTATCAGAAATGCTTCCTGAGCAATCTTTAAAATCAAAGCTGCCTTTATTAAATGAAGAGAGGATGAAAAGAAAGGAAACAAAAATTGTTTACTCATTCTTGTCCCTAAAAGGAATGAATTCCGATTTTTGATATTTGTTCTATCACCAATTATTGAAAATTAAAAAGCTGCTTTACTAATTTTTTTGCATGTCAAAAAATTCTGTAGCAGAAATGTTTGCATGTGACATTTCCTTCTGTAACATTTCCTATTTATTATCATTTTTTAAATTATTATTTCTGATATAAAGGATAAATAAATTTCAAATTCATTGGCTAAAGATTATTTTGTTTTCTTGATGATTGTTTCGTTTTTGTCCCGTAGATTGTACGCTAGTGAATGATGCGAAGAAAAAAAAAATTGTTTTGTTACTTTAAAGAAAATTCGACAAAAAAAAAAATGAAAGACTTTTATGAAGCAAATAAAATTTTAATCAATTTTATTGAACAATAAATTTAATAGCTTCAATTTATTCATATATTTTTTAGCAATTTAATTGTGTAATATTGAAATTAATACATTGTGAAAAAATAAATCCATTATGAAAATGAAAGCTAACCAGTTGGTGTCTGGATGAAATTGTAATTTCGTAATGATTTTGATGCCATCAAATTTGCGAAGAATAATTTGTTGATAGCTCAGGAAGATAATTTACAACAATTGTAGTTGTTTACTACAAATAGAAAATTTTTGTATCTTATACAAAATGATATTGTAAATGATAGTATTCACACTGACATCCGATGAAATTTTAACAATGAATCGCGAAAGACAATTGGTCATAAATTATCATCAAATTATGATGCAATTAATTGACATCTTTAATAATTAATACAAATGACCAATGATAACTCTAGATGGACTCAATCATGATATCATCATTTCATTACTATAAACAGGATAGAAATTACGAAATGACAATCTGATACCGATAGACTTGAAAGATATAATAATGTTAACAAATAGTTATAATTAAATGTATTGCTAAAATTGCTTTTATTTCTAATATGTGAGCTATTGAAATTCAAAAAATTAAATTTAAGACTGAAAATTTTGAATATTTTATTTTGAATATATATTTGAATATTTTTTAAATTGATCATTAAACTTATTATTTCATTCAACATAATTAGAATAAAATTTCATCGCAGATAATTTTGTTCAGAGAAATAACTGACTAATGCATTTTAATAATTTGTTAACAAATTTTTTAAGCAAATAACAGCTGCAATATTATTGTTTGCTAATTGATCATTTAACATGAAATTTCAAAATCATTTAACATGAAACATGAAATCTCATAGTGAATGAGGAAAAAGAGATTTCTGTACTATTACAGATCAATAAGATGCATACACCATTACGTACGTCATTATTACGTGTGAGAAAAAGATGGATTAAAATGGAGTAAAAAGTAATTTTTTAAGTATTATTAATTTAAAAGAAAATGAATATCAGTAGACAAATCTGTT